AGGCGGAAGATGGAAAATATATGCTGAATCCAATGAATTGTCCAATTACCTATGAGGAGCCTCCAACACTCATGCTCAACACGATAAGTGGGTGAAAGTGTACTTGCAATCTTTGCAAATCAAATACTTATGAACGAGAATTTCTTTATTCTTCGCAGTTCTGATGATTTCTGCTCCTTTCTTATATGCGACCATTCTGATCTACTGGCTCATCCCGGAGTTGTGGAACTTGCACACCAAATGTTTAATTTGCTATCTACTGTCGTTAGCTATTGGCACCACGATGATTGTAGTGACAAACATCCAAAACTCGGATTACGACAACGTGCTTTGCGCCATTATTGGTAAATTTCATTTTATAGGCGTTAAGATTTAGAAAATAAGGAAATTGGTGAACGCATTTTCTTTATATATTTCGACAGGATTTGTGACGTACTATTTCCTCACGGCGGTATTTTTCTGGCTTAATGTCATCTGTTTTGATCTTTGGCACAATTTCCGCGGCACCAAAGGAAATGTTCAGCATTTGACTCAGAGAAAACGATTCTTCTACTACGCTCTCTACGCTTGGGGTCTGCCGGCTCTGATGACCGTTTTGACTATAGCTTTGCAGTACTCCGATTTGCCAAATAAACTCAAGTCCGGTATAGGATATTCCCATTGTTGGTTGAAAGGTACGTTCGCGTGTAAATAAACATTCATGCAGTCGCACATAACTTTTGAGTCTCTAATTCCGCGTGAAGTTGACGACTGGTCAGCCATGATTTATTTCTACGGACCCTGCCTAGTGCTTATTGTTTTCAACATGGTTATATTTTACCTAACCGCTGAGCGGATCTACACCATACGAAAGGAATTGAAAATGTTCTCTCAGGGCGAAGACAGCAGGCGACATTTGCGTTCCCAAAAAAATGAGTAAGTTCTTCTTTATGAAACGTCTGCCTCATGTGAGTATTTGTATGCTCACCAACCATGGAAGAACCAATTTAATGAAATACTTTAGTTTATGGCTCTTCTTTCGATTGTTCATTGTTATGGGAATCGGTTGGTTGCTGGAGGTGCTGGGCTATATTGTTGGCAGTAAGAGTGAGTACGCCATTTTTTTCGCATTTGCCGACATTTACAACGCTTCTCAGGGTTTGATTTTATTTGTGCTGTTGGTTGTGAAGAAGAAGGTGCTGCTACTCATAAAGAAGAGGTAAATTTCTAAAATATTTATTATTATATTATTTCTAAATTGGCAATATTTGAAATAAAAACTTAATAATTCGCGAAGAATTTTATGCATTGAGGGGTCTGATACCACAGACTCAGCTGATTCGCGGTGCTCTGAAGAGGACGTAGCGCTGCAAACTGTCACAAATGGAATTCCCTCGATATTGAAATGAGTAAATGAATAGGTAAAAAAAAATGATTTCGGATTTCGTATTTGGTTATGGTGTTACTAACGGTTTTTTACGGTCGAATGGATCTAGGCTTGCTGCACATTTCCCATTACCTTAAAGCACACTAACTTTACTTTTCTTGTTTGAAGTGGGTTGCAATCGCATGAAATGTTTAGGAAAATACTATTTTATATACATAGGTGTTTGTTTATTTGATATACATTTTAGAAACTACAGCATGTTTGGTACTACTTTAACATTCATATCGTCACCATCAATGCGAAAAGCTCATACTTTCCAAAAAAAAGTCAATTATATACATACATTGATAACGACGATTTGCATACATACATATATATATGTATACGTTCTTCAATCTAATCCGCTTGATTCCGCGATGACCAATATAAATATCTACTAAACTATGGTATTTACATTACTTGCTTTGGTTTTAGAGTCTTTAAACCGGGAAGCACTGTGCAGTCATCAAATGGGCGAACAACCAAATCTAGTGCATCGACCAGGGAACTGAGTAAGTTAATCAAAAAATTGCATTCAATATTTTTATATGTTTTATCAAATGATTCGAACATTACAATTTCCTGAGAAAGTGAAGACCAATCAATAACAGGATGTTGCCATGAAAAAATTTTTAGCTTGGTTATTTTTTACCCAATTTTAAGTTTTTATAATGGCTTTGGAAAGAAGAATGTATGTATATCGATGGCTGAGTGGAAGATCGACCTATCTCAGCTGCCAGTTCGAAAACGCTCTATCTCAAAAAACTTTTCAAGAACGCCCTATTTCAGAATTTTATTGAAAAACACCCTATCTCAAAATTCGGTTCAAAAACGCCCTATCTCACTTCAAAATGTATTGAAAATATGCTGATATAGGGCAGCTGAGATAGGGCGTTTTTAAAACGAATTCTGAAATAGGGCGTTCTAGAAAAGTTTTTTGAGATAGAATGTTTTCGAACTGGCTGCCGACGAGATAGGTCGATCTTCCACTCAGCCATCGATATGCAGTATTTAAAGAAATAATTTTGTGAGCACATTGTATATATGTATGTACATATGTATGTAAGTGGAAAATTTTTTGAATAAATTTTGAAATTTACACCAATTTTTTCATTTCTACAACAATTGGATTGGATTCACTTAGATTCTCTTTAGAAAAATGTCATAACTTCACATTTTTGTTTAGTTGATTTTAATGAATGATACTTAGTTTTAGACAGAATTAAACATTCTTTTCGAAGTAGCAACTAAAAGAGACAATTTTCTTTTGAAATTTGGCAAATATTGTTGTGAAGGTTTAAAAAAAAAAATAATAAAAATGGGTGTAAATTTCAAATTTATTCCAAAAATATTCCACGTTTTTACAATGTGCTTACGAAATTTATTATTTCCTTCAACAATTTTGAATGAGCTTGAGGCCGTTTTTAATGAAAAACTTATTGTGGAAAAGCAACAATAATGTGAATAAAAAAATGGTAGAAGTGATAGCTATTTCGGAAATCACCACATTTCCTCATCAGACTTCTTTCAGTAGGCTTCGAACCGACGATCCCACTTACTCAGCCAGTTAGTTGTTGCCTATGCACTGTGCTAAGTTTGCTTTTTCCCACTTTTTCGTTTTTCGTTTTTTTTGTTTTTGTTATGCCACAACACAATGAAGCGCAGCTATTCCGCTGCAATTCACTTGATCATGTGGTGGTTGTTGGTTTTGTTGGTCTTTTCTAATAATTCTATTTTTAGGATAGGATAAGAACATATGCACAAGAGGTGCAATATCTTTTTATAAATTACTTATAAGTTTTACATATATATGTATGAACATATCGAGCCCTAACCGCCAAAATAACGTAAGCGACATTTTTTTTCAAAATTTTCTTTTTGATGCAGAAATATTCCTAGAGCGTCTAGATGCATTTCTGCATCAAAAAGAAAAATTTGAAAAAAATGTCGCTTACGTTATTTTGGCGGTTAGGGCTCGATATGTAAATATGAATATAGAATTTAAGTAGTACGATACATATGTATATAGTGTAAGCACATGTAATTAATTTTGTATGTTTTTGATTACTTTTTCTTAGCTAATCTGGCAAGTCGACAGAAAGTCCGGAACTAAGGATCACAGCATAGACTATGTATCCCCACACATGTCACCTACAAATACATAAGTAATATCTATATAATTTCTGTCTATTCAAACAAGTTTCTCTGCATACAAATCTCTTGACTTCATACGAGAGTGCTGCTGAGTATTCTTGGTAACTCAATTTTAAACATCTACGCAATTTATAGATTTATTTAGAGAACTTATAAAAGTCCAAATACGTAAAGCTAATCGCTAGTTTATTAAGTTGGAGGTATTCATTAGGTTCATTAGAACTTTGGTATTAATATTCGTACAATAAATGTCTCTACAAATGCATTCTAGGATTTTTTAGGTTAAGTTTTATGTAAGAATTTATAAAATTAGAAGTAAGCGATTGTAATTAGTATATTTTCAATAAAAGTGGGTTTTATGAAAAAGATAAAACGCCTTTATATAAGACACATAGGTTTAGTTTAAAATCGGCTGCAACTATAGGATGTTAACTATTTTTTATGGGTCCCCCAAAGACACAAAAAAAAATGTAATGGACGCACACATAAAAAATCGCTAGTATTAAAAAGTTGTAAAATAAACAATTGGGTATTATTATTGGAAGGCTCATGAAGAGAAACAGAGTTCTCCGATGGAAAAATGCTGGTTTTAAATAATTCTATACCATTTCTACGAAAAAGTTGTTTTTCCCTATATACATAAATTACATGGAAAACTTCATATGCTTTGAGCCAGTTTTAAATATATATATAAATTTTTTTTACAAAAAATACAGGTATTTTTTTCCATTTAGAAAAATCCTAGGGGGGAGAGCTTAACATTTTGAACTTTTTTTGGATCACCCTAATGTTCATTACGATGGGTATCAACTGGATACTGGAAATCGTTGGCTATTTGGTCGAAGACAAAACCAGTGCAGTTTTTGTTGTGGCTGACGTTTTTAATGCATCCCAGGAACAAATTATATTTCTGCTGTTTGTTGTGAAGTGGAACGTGCTGCTACTAATTCAGCAGAGGTACATACACCTACGCACAACGGTGCATCGAAAATTCGACGTGAAAACTAGGCCTAAGCATGCTATACAATATGGCCGCTAAGCAAATGCACCGAGACTTGCTAGAGTCGGTTGTTAAAATATTTAAATTTTTATTTATGCATTCTATGCATTTTAAAATAAGAATATTTTACAGAGGCAGCACAAATCTTTTAAAAGTCTAACTTTTCTTTTTTGGTTGGTTGACGAAGAAATTCCACAAGCCAGACAACTCATCGGGGGGCGTCAGGAAAACAATTGTCGATGCATCAAAATTAATAGACAAAACACTGTGGTCACATAATTAAAATCTACATAAATTATAATAATAATCTACGTAAATTACTGCATTAATAACAGCGTTGTATGTTTGTATGTATCTAACATCGCGGCCATGAGTTGTGGTCGTAATCCACATTTCATACTTAGCACTTGTTTACAATAATATGCGTATCTAGCAAGCACGGTGATCAGGATTACCCCGAACTTTTCTCTAATCTACAATAAACCACCGTACAGATGTCTACATACATATGTATGTACATGACAACTAGAATTCCATTGTTCTTTGTGGTTATGCATATCTTTTATTATTTAACAACACAACATATCAACGAGAATTTCGGGTTTATGATAAATTATATCAGGAAACGGAAAACTTTTCGCCACCACTGGCTTCTTCGCCACATTAGTCGTGTATGTAAATGAACACATACATATGTATCCACAGGACTGGTGGTGGTTTATTTCAAAGCATACCACCGATACAAACCTAACCTCAAAAACGCCTTAAAAAGGCCTTAAAAAGCGGACCGATGAACATATCATTCCGAAATGTTGCCCAGGTGTTAGCAATATAATGCCGAATACCATTTAAACAATTAAAGAAGTATAAGTTCGGGCGAAACCGAACTTTATATACTCGGCGCACGTATTAAATATCGTTTTTTTTTCAGAAGAGTATTTTTCGCAATGTCAAACAGTTTCAATAATATGCTATGATATATTGAAATAATTGGACCAAATTTGGTGGAAATCGGTAAGGCGGTTATCGTTATATACTTCTGTAGTCATAAGTGGGTGGTGCCAAGCCCATTTAACAAAAATCAATAATCTTGTGTCTTGTTAAACGATTGTTGCAAGTTGGCATCTTTAGTTATTGAAAAATCGGAGTTTTCGTACTCCTGAAATTTACCGTTATATGGTAAGTGGCAGTAATTTTAGTCCGATTTCAAAAATTTTCAACATATTGCTTTTTTGCGTTAAGGTTGCTAAATGTGTCGAGTTTGGTAGAAATTGATAAACCGGGTACCGATATACACATATGTAGGCGTAAGTGGGCGGTGCCACGCCCATTTTCCAAAAATTTCGCTAAAAATCATTTTCTGCTAAGAGGTCATTGCATATAACGATTTTGAGTAAATAAGCTTAAATAGCTACTAATTTATCGCAGTTTTCGTATTTCTGTAAATTACCGTTATATGGGAGGTGGGCGTGGTTCTTGTCTGATTTCAAAAAGTGTCAACGAGTTTCTTAGTGAGGACCTAAGAAATGTTCTCACCCAGTTTGGTAGGGATTGGTAAAGGGACTACAGAGATACAACATTTAATCATAAGTGGGCGTGGCCCCGCCCATTTTCCAAAAATTTTATAACTGTTCTATTTTACGCCAAAATTCTACTTCAAATACCAACTTTCAACAAATTTGGATCCAGTATTTCGAAAATACCGTTATATGGGAGGTGGGCGTGGTTGCTGCCCGATTTCTCCCATTTTCAATCCCAACCTAAATTGGATAAAGGGCAACCTACTTACCAAATTTAGTTGACATATCTCAATTTTTCATCGAGTTATCGTGTACACGGACAGACGGACGGACGGACAGACATGGCTTAATCGATTTCTCTTTTAATTCTGAGCATTTATGTATACATTTGTATATATTTATCTCGATTCGTTTTGGCTGTTACAAACAACCGTTATGCGTTATGCGTTTTGCCATTTAATACCTAGTGGAAATTCAGCATAACTTAACATCGAAAAAAATCAAAATGGGAGTAATCGGCTTATACCTCCCATACATACCTCCCATGCAAAATTAACAAAAAAAAAAAAAACGCCTTAAAAATTCCATAAATACCATCATTATTATATGAGGTTATGTTAAACGCGCCAAACTTTTTTCAGAAATCGATAGAAAACATTCCGATCTTTAATTTTTCTTATAGTAAGAACGAAACATATAGGTTGTTCGCACTTGGCTGGTTATCAGGTTATCTGGTTATGTGGTTATATTTTTCATTCAGTTTACAACAATAACATACACTACAGAATAATAATTTTTAACCAGATAACCGGATAACCAGGCAAGTGTGAACAATCCAATAGTTTTTGTCCATCAAAAGTGTCAAAGTTAACATTTATAAAGTGTTATTTTTCTCAGATTATATTTATTGAAATATTTGGGCGATTGCCCTGACTTTTTCTCTTTTTTGTTTAGCGAGTGCTATATTTCCATATGAACCTACAACAAAAAAAAAACAAAAGTTATAAGAAGAACATATTGCTTAAGTGAACAAAGATCTCAATCAATTTTAATTGAATAAAATTCTTTTGAATTTTGTTGCTTTTATTTTGTATAAAACTGCCAGTATCGTACAAAGTTACAATGAATTTTTCTTATTCAAATATCACTTTGATATGCTGGATTTACACTAGGCATTACAATCACAAAAAATTTATACCATTTAAATAATGCCATGTGGAAATAGACATAATGACTACTTTTATGAACGTAATGGCACGGGTATTTTTTAATGGCCAAAAATACAAATTTTTTGTCATTTAATGACTAGTGGAAATTCAGCATTAGGCTAAACCAAACAAATATAATGCTGGATTTCCACTAGGCATTAAATGGCGAAAATGACAAATGACAAAGTCGGGCATTAAAAAATAATCTTGTCATTACATTGAAAAAATAGTCATTAAGTCCATTTGCACTTAGCATTTTTTTAAATGGTTTAAATTTTTTGTCATTTCCTTTGCCTAGTGGAAATTCGGCATAAAGATTGAATATTAAAAAAATTTATTTTTCCGTCGAAATACCGCTGTGCGTTGGCGCTGTAGCATAAGCGCCGCCACATGATACCTGTAGGTTGCTGGATAGTTGAAATTGGAATGAGATATAAATATTCCTTGCAATTGTGTGAATTTTTCAGACAATGAGGCTCCAGTCTCAGAAGGTCTAGTTAGGTACTAAAGTATCGAAATTTACACAAGAACAATGGCGTAACCAGCCTAAATTGATGGGAAGGAGGCGGAGGAATACTTATTGGGCATCCTCCCTCACTTTGCTAGACTTTACTTTTCTCACAGAATTAATGCTTCTTACGCATAATATGAAATAAAGAGGGGCGCCAAATGAATGCCCCGCCCGGGGAGCTTAAGATGGTTAAGGCCGGCCGTGCATTCCTACACACCAATTTTCCTGTGTTGCTGTTCACAATTGCAGCGAAATTCACCACAGAACATTTACAACAACAACATTATTAACCCATCAACAGGCGCCAACCACAAATCTACACCACTGTTATAGCTGAAATACAATGCCGGCGAACGGCGAACTCACCACAGCGAAATTCGCGCTGTCAAAATTAGAACACCCGCAAGCATATGAAATTGAACACAGCCAAAGCGAAATGCGAAGTTCGCTTGGCGGCGTTTCATGGCGATAGATTTATTTCTATCGCCCTGCTGGGCGATGACAGCTGTGCGTGCCAAAGGTGGCCGTATTTGTTTTTTGCTTTCAAAGTTTTAAAAGAAAACAACCTAAACACGATTTTTTTTTTTGTTGTTTGAAAAATATAGTTGTGGATTCGTTAAATCTGGCTTGAAACAAATTATTTATAATAATCTTTCTTTGTTTTACATTTATATTTGTTATCATTTCCTCATTTCTAAATATGGTTTAGTTTTTTCTAAATATGGTCACCCAAATTATAAAGGCGACCAAATGGGATCAGCTGTTTTCGCTACCGCTCTAATTCTGTTTAAGTAGGCGAAATAGCTGGGCGAACGGTGAACGACAGCATCGCCCAATTCGGCGTAGTTTGCCGTTCGCCGGTATTGTATTTCAAGCATTAGGGGAGCGATTTGAAATAATAAGCAAGCGATGACCAGCAGCGATGAGCGCGCGTTGGCTGACAGCGATGTGACGCTACGCCACTACGATGGATCCGCTGTTGGAATTTTTAGGGGCAATAATTCGCTAGTGACTTCTTAACGCTTCAGTTGAGTACAAAACATTGATGTGCGCGGTTGTTAGCACGGCTGACGAAAAGGAGCGAAAATACGGTCATCATCACATAGCGAGTCTACGGTCAAATTGTGCAAAACAACCGGTTGAATACGCGAAAGATATAGCAAAATTTTTTTTTTTTTTGAATACCGGCTTATTTAGAGCTACTCTAAATCGAAAAAAAAAAATTGGCGAATAACGAGAACCCTCATCGTGGGGAAACCCACTTGCAATGACAGCCATTTTTACCTTTTAAATTAAATAAGTGCGTAAGAGTGTGTTTATACATATATGTATGTATGGGCTCCAAAAATTATTGAAATTATTGAAAATATCGTATGTATGTTTGTGGATTTTTACATCAATTGTGCAATTTGTGTGACAAATAAAAATTTCATTGAACAATTGTGGGTTGACAAAAAATTCGGTTTCTTTCACTTTTTGAAAAATAAAGCAGAAAGCGTGGACAAATAAGAGACATACATACACAAAAAAGTGATCAACATCATAAGCAACCACTTACGACGTACATATGTATGTATGTTTATGTGTATATATACACACGATACACAAACAAAAAAATCGGCTGACACCTCTTAACCGTGGATCAACTCCACTCCACGCTTTGCTTCGGTCTCTGTGGTTATGGAAAATATGCAATTCCAATTACTACCTAACATTTGCTCCTGTTTATTAACCGACTTCCAAAAAAGGAGGAGGTTATCAGTTCGTCAGATTTTTTTTTTTTTTTTTTTTTTTTTTTGATGTATGTTACCGCATAACTTTGGACCACGTCAACCGATTTCGATAATTCTTTTTGCATTTTTGCAAGGTAGTGTCTTAGAGGTGGTCCCATACTAATCTGGTTAAGATCCGATCAGCGGATCATGAGATATATATATATATATATTTTTTATATGAGAGTTGAAGTCGGTTTTTTTTTTTGCTAAAAATTACTTGTTAAATATATACTTATGAATTATACATATGTACAATGTACAAAAAAAAAAAGTCAATTTGTAGCTTGCCAAATTGCGAAAAAAAGGTTTCGAAGAAAATGTGAAATCTTCACTGTTGCGCCCTCTGGCGAAAAAAGTTTAGGATTCCTCATACCAAAAAACCACTTATAGCACGCTTTTATACAAAATCTAAGCACATCTTTTCGACTCTACAACAAAATGCTAAGAAACCTACATTTTCGCAATTTGGCAAACTCCAAATTGATTTTAGAGCCATGGTTTCTTCGGCAAATTTGCTTATAATTACACGTAGAATTTTTCTGTGCTATACGCGCATAGTCGGAAAAAAAATCTCACTTAACAAATTGACCTGCCCTAGTGTACATGCTTTGTTACATACATACATATATGTATATAAGTTTATAATTTCTTAAATTTATGTACATACCTACAAATACATATATACATATAAATATACCTGGATGACACACTCTTTAATTGTGCAATTTGTTGTTGTTGGTTTTATTAGTTCAGCCCTCGTCGCTTTTTTTAATGCACACTTGGATCACCAGTTCGACGCTGACATAAACAAAGTGACAAAATAAGCAACGGCAAAGAGGCGAACTTAAGGCAGAGATAAAATTATACTACACGCACTTAAGATAACTTCGATTAAAAAAATAAAAATAAAAAACAACAAAAGAAAAACAATGAAAAGTTAAACAGCTCAGAGCTGAAAGAAAATACCTTTGCTTGAAGAAGTTTGACCGGTACACACACGGCTTAGGTGATCGAAGATTAATACAGGTAAGTGGGAAAGTTGAGAAATACATACAGACATACATAGAGACGTGCATAGTACATAATTTTTAGTAGCGGGGCACGGAACAGAGACTGATAAATAATACACCCCGCTTCACTTGTATAGGTACATTTCTTCTTCGAGATCCATAGTTATACGCCTTTATTTTGAAGAATAATCAATTATAAAGCTCAATACGATGTAGAAAAAAAAACGATAGAAATTGTAGCAAAAAAAATAGGGGGTTTCGGCGTATGCTTTTTTTAAGCTATTTTTTTAAAGTTTTGGCCCATTTTTTGACATTTTATCATTTCTTTCGAAACTCGGCTTTGCACAAAGGTCGGTAGATTACTCTCTAAAGGCCTAAAGAAATTCAAAACCAACAACAATGTATATCAATAAACTAGTGCCAGTCTTTATTACACCCAGGATTTTGCAGAAATTCCCAACTAAAGAACCTTAGTTTTTATAAAGTTTTTAAAGACACACAAATTTTAGTTAAGGTCTTTCTATATTGAAGTAACGATATGTATGAACAGAAGTAAAAAAACGAACGTCTTGTTTACAATATTAAAATGTTTTTATTTTTCTACATATTCTTTTTGTTTTTTTTTTGCTACAATGCATAGTAGCAACTGTTTAAAAGTCAGCGCTAGTGATACCGAGTGGAATATTAAAATTTCTAGTGAAGCTATCGAACGTGTTTTCAATTGAAATTTTGCTCTTCCAACAATAAGTAACTCCGTCGTATGCGCATTTAAATATATGTACATACACATACATTAGGGTGCTCCAGAAATGTACAGTCAAGTGAATATTTTGGAATTTTCTCGCTGCCATTCTTAGAATTATAGACAATGGAAAATAAGCAGACTCGTATTTTTTTTAATTTATTTTGTAAACGTTAAATATACATTTTTCGCAGAATTGCTATAAAATCTTTAAAAATAAATATTTTTTAATCGAATGAAAATATTTCCCTTCAGAAATCTTCTAGCAATGGCATTGTGATGTAAATTTAGCTCCTAAATATTACTAAATATTTTTAAAAAACGTGCGTGAAGTGGTTACGAACACATACAATTTATGAAAAAGAAGTTAGTAAAATTTTAAAGTTATATATGCATCATAATTTTATGGTTTGCAGATTTTTGAGGTAAATATTTTTTATTCGATCAAACGATATACATTTTTAACGATTTTACGAAAAACTGTATTTTACCCATATGAAATATTTCAAAGCTCGGCGGAACGGTTTAATGTTAACTGATTTAAAAACAAAAAAACAGGGGCCTCTTTATTTTCGAAAGTCTTCAGGTTTGCGGGAGGTTAGACATTTTTTTTGACCACCCTAATATACATAGGTATGTACATATGTACGTATGTATGCAGATTCGCGCTTGATTGATATTCGTGCGATTTTTTTTAGTTTTTCAATTCATTTTAAAATATAATAGTCACGCAAAACCGTGCATTCTAGTTATATCATTTTTTTTTTTTTAATTAATTAGCGTTTTTCCCGGGAAGTGAGTGCCGATAGTGTAGCAACCGCTGGGCCCATTTATTGTTTTAATAATGACACATAGTAGTTGCATACTTGTTTTTAGATGAAATTGCATATATTTACGTGTTTGATTTAAACGTTTGAAAAAAAAACGTAATTGTGTCTACTTAATCAAAATATTAGCATTATAAGCTTGGAAATTGGTTTGTTTGGTAAATTTCTTAAAACAAGCTTGGTAACAAAGCTTTTTTTATGGTAACGGTACTTAAAATTCTGCGGAAGGTTCATTAGATTGATCTGGCTGGCAGTGTGTCACACATGGACCATTTTGACGTGATACCATAAGTGATAGAATTTTTAGAATCAACGCTAAAATGACAAAACAAAAAAAACGCCGAAAAACGTAAACTTAATTTTGGGTCGTAGATTGTGGATCTTTTGGAGCATTTTGAACTATCTAGTAGATATCAAAAGTCATATGCCCGGGTATCGCGTTCTTACGCCAGTCTCATTCTTCGACTATACATATTTTGGAGATATCTCTCCCAATTAAGATGTACGTATCTCATATGTACATACATACATATATGTATACATTTCTCCGGCCTATTGTGATATGCCCGAATTCACCTGCTGCTGCCAACCTAACAGCTTATTTCGCTGCAAGATTTTGCTACTTAGTTGACAATTGGCTCTAAGTCAGTATGATTTCTAAACTAAACATTGGAATTGTCCTGAGCGCTCTCGCTTCGCAGAGCGCAGCCATACATTGTAATCTCTCCAATTAAGACTTAACGATTATGTCGATGCCCTGCACCACACCAAAGCTCCATAAAGTAGTATTGGTTTAACTAGTGCTGTGTACAGGGTTGCCACTTTCGTAAGTTGTTACCAAAATTGGATTGGTAAAAAGGTACATTTTTTCTCATTTTGGTAGATTTTTGTTGAATCGTTCGTAGTTATTTTTTTATTATAAATTTCTTTACAAAAGTGCAGTGTACTTTATTGCATTAATTTTCGAACATTTTAATGCACACTTTTTATATACATACGAATAAATGTATATCGATAAAAGGCGAACATTCAAAACTCTTTTTACTGGATTTCCGAGAAGCTTTTGATTGCTTAAATATTTTAAATGATTATTTAAATAAAAAAAAGAACGGACAAGTATGTAATTACCCACTTCGGGCCTTAGAAAAAAAATTAAATCAACGCATATTTTTATCAATGGCAATTGTTAAATGAAAAAAAAAACACAAAATACTGGTTGCAAAAAAATTAAAAACTGCCAACGGGAATTTTTAGCTGAACATTGTTGATTAGTCTCAAGTAGTATGGGCTATAAAACTCCATACCTTAAATTGTTAAAAAAAATCAGAGTAAAAATATCGAAAATTTTTGAATTTTTCTAAATGTTGTATTTAGCTTGAATCCTTGATTTTTAAATGTTTGGCTAAAGCGTAAACAATATTCTTATAAAATAATACCAAAAAAAAATTGGCTTGAAAAAAAAGGTGAATATTAAAAAAAAATTCACCTAGCGTTTTTGAGTCACTGTATTTATCTATAATACATCTCAAAAATTTTCCAGTATAATCCAGTTCAAAAATTTTCAAATGAAAAAGTTTCGTTGTTGCCTTTAGTTTATCACTTTCGCTTTTGGTTGAAATAGTTCCTTTAAACACAATTTGAATTCTTATGGAATTAACTGAAAAAATATCAAAACTATAGTTTTCATTAAAATAACTAAAAAAATTGTTGGTAGATATTTTCCACAATTGGTAGATTTTTTTCAAGTCGATGGTAAGTATTTTTTTTTGTCAGTGGCAACCCTGCCTGTGTAGCACCAATGCATCAGAGTTTTTAATTACATTACACATAGTTTTTATTTAAAACATAGATCTATCGACTGTCGCATGCAGTAAGTATTTGTACCAAGAAAAATTATTCAAATTGTGATCGACTAACAAAATTGTATTGTAGGCATCATTAAATGCTGTGCCGATTATAAATAGATACATACATAACACACATACATACATATGTACTTGGAATGTCTTCCAGATTGCACCTCTTCTATTTAATTGCATCTAAACAGAGTGTCAAAAGCTAAAATTCCAGTATGTACGCGTGACTGTGTGTGTCTGCCGATTTACCGACGATTTTGCCATGAATCTTTCAATAACCAATTAGCCTATTCATACATACAAATCTATTTATTTATGCATTCATATCTACATATGTACATACATATGTATTGCAGATTTCAAGGTGAAAGCACAAATCAGCAGCAGCAACAATGCTCATAGTTGGCCAATATTTTTGGGGAAAAACAATTCAGTTGTGGTTGCTCGAAATTGTGTGGGATATGTATGCTCGTATGCAGTACACATAAATATATATACATACATACATACATACATATATGTAAGGAGCGACTGCCCAGCCAGCAAAATCATCGTAAACACGCTCGTAACTGCATATTTTCTCCAAGAAAAACCGGATAAAAAGTCGTTTATGATAGCCGTTTACGATTCGTTTTCGAGTACTTTTTCTCTTGAAATTGCGGAGCGCCTACGTACAGTCGTAAACGGATCGAAAAAAAACATTCGTATGCGAATATTATAAAATGAAAACTTTTTCTTGTGCTGACACAAATTACTACAAGCCTCTTTCTATTACACTTTTTTGTGTATCATTTACGAGCCTTTCTCTAACTTTTTGCCAATCGAGAATCCCTCGTAAAAAATGTACGTTTTCTTGCTGGCTGGGTGGTTCCAAATTTTTAGTTTGCTTAGAGTAAATAGCTTGGATGTAACTCAAACGTCTTGGTCCTTCAAACGAAAATCGAAGTATTTGTTAAACTGGCTTAAGCAGGGCCGGATTAAGAATGTGTGCGTCCGAGGTCGTGTGGAGCCCCTTTTTGAGTTAATAACACTGTGCACCGAATTTCCAAAAGTTGGACGTGATGGGAATCGGACCAACAGCATTTGATTAAGCTTGTCAAACAATGAAAAAGTTCCAAAGGATTTGAAAAAGTTGGTTAACATTTATTTGTTTATCTTAATTTGAAGTTGACGAAATAAGCTCCCAATGAGAACGTATAATATAAAAATACATTTTTCAAAGTTAACGGAGCGGAAGGGGAGGGGATTGAGGAGTTTTTGGCTCGGCTCAGTGTTCGACTGAAAAATTTGTACTATATATATGTGTATATATATACATACATATATTTATGCAGATATGAAATTTGTGAGCGAAACCGACAGAAAAAAATCATTTTACTTGAACCTGAAATTGACTACTACAATTCGATATAAAATGGTAATGGGGACCAACTTTTAATGAATGCAATTGGTCTCATTACCGTCGAAGTTATTATTTCCCAGCGGGTTGTTGATAAATAATTGACGTGCCCTCGTCCCTTATTTCCGTATTCTTTGATATGTCCGTGGGTCATTCTGAGCTATTAGTTTCAGCGTCCCACGGAAATTTCCA